CACTTTACAACCAAAACTAAACTAGGTGTGACACTGTGGGGCGGAATATTTGCCACCAAAAATTAAACATGAATAACTTTTAAATAGTTTATACTGAATTTGAATTACATGAATTGAAGTTAAGTGGCTCGGATAATGGATGGATTTGTATATTTTACTCTGAATCATATTGAATATTTGAATCTGAATTGTACAATCTGAATTTGAAAGGATAGACTTTTTTTCTTTGAAACTGTATTTGATCCTCACTGAAAATTAAATTCTGTTTATTTTCATATTCAGTCTTACAAATACAAAACTTTTCATTTCAACGTCAGATTTTGTTTTTGAATTGAGGTAATAAGTTTTAAATTAACTTTATGGTCAAGTATGAAGTATCCGGTTTGTATCGCAGCAAAGTGAATCAAAATTAATTTCATTGTATTTCAGTGCAGAAAGGGTTCTTTTTTGGCAGCACCTCTGACTGTTCAATAACCTACATTTTCACAAAACTCACATGCACACGTAAACTGACGCAGCAGGTTCATGCCCAGCCTGCCTGTGACATAGCTGAGCGGTTTATTTTCAAACTTCGGGCGATTCAGCCCGCATTCTGTGTATGTAACTCCTCTGACTAGGGTTGCTTGAGTCGTAGCATTCCAACAGAGCCATGTTGTCGCATCTCGCCCATCTCTCGCCACCATAAAGAAGTCATGTCTGTGCCTGGAGCACGGGCTCATGCTAATCGTCATTATTAGCGCCCTTCAAAATTCAGGCTGAACTCTAGACAGAATTGTCTTCGTATTGTAATTGTCAGTGTACTGTCACAAAGGACAAATGTTAACCTAAGCATGAAATAAATTTACTCGCCACGTCTTTTCTGGATGTCTCACCGGAGCGTGCATGGGCAACTGTGGGCAAAGAGCGTCGTCGTTAACTGCGAGCGCTGTCCTCCTCCTCCTCCTGGGCAATCGGCTGGTGCCTCGCGAGGTTCACACCCAGTGAGGGCCCCGGCAGGGCCCTCGCCTGATTATTGTTTCAGGAGGGTTGTGGGGCGGCTACTCCAACTCCCCTCCGTTCCGGCGGGGCGAGCACTGGGCGCCTCACCTTCCGGTGAGACCCCATCTCCTTTTTCTTCTTAATTGGCGGGTGGCAGCTAATGTTTGCGGTGCATCACCACCTACTGTATCGGAGTGTAGCAATACTTGACTGATGTACATTGAAGTACTGTACGTACGAGGAAAAATAACAAAAAAAAATGAAAATTCAAAACTTGTACTTGCACCTTCTTTCGCTGACGCCAGTCGACTTCAACATAATCTTACTTGACCATGTTCAATTTGTGTGTGCGCACTAGCGAGCATGCACAAGAATTAGTACGTGCGTGTGCAAATGTGTGTGCGGGCACGCTAGCGCGCGCGTTTGTGTGTGTGTGTGTGTGTGTGTGTGTGTGTGTGTGTGTGTGTGTGTGTGTGTGTGTGTGTGTGTGTGTGTGATGAATGGAATTCCGCATCGGTGTGTAATTGCAAAACAAGGCTGTATGTAAAAAAATAAATAAAAATCTGAAACTGCATTTAAGGGTGGCTCAATACTGGCTGGCCATATATGGGCCGGAGTTGTAAATTGATTTCTGGCCCAAATACTTCACTCCACAACTGGCCCTCATCTGGTTTGCCAGAGTCAAGCCAGTGCCTCCTTTGCCACTCCTGGGCCGTGTTCGGCCCACATGCATTATGCCAGTGCCGACAGAAGGCCAGCTGTGCCAGCTTCATGCCGAATCCTGGTATTCTCCTTGTTGATCAGGGTTA